CAGACAACCTCTCGTCAATATGCGTTTTTTGCATTGCATTACTGCAAAAAACGCATAAAAACTGGAGATTCACATCCTCAGGTGATAAAGGTAACAAATCCGCGAGATATGTGCTACCTCATTTTTGAGGGCATTTATTTCATTAATTTCGAAACAGATACTTAAAACTTTGAAGGTTCAAATGAGAAAGTGACATTTCGGGAACCAGACAAAACAGGAAAAACCTTCCATTTTCTTACAGTTTTAATTTAAATTCGAAAGTGAACTGAATCTAATTTGGACTTTCAGTTGGAATCGCTTGATTTGGAGAGCAATTTTATAGCATCGCTCGAAGATGGAACTTTAGCAGCGCTTCGTGATACATTAACAAAGCTCAGTTTTGGAGGGCATAATTTCGTCAATGGCAGTGTTTTCGAGCAAATTTCACAGCTTTCAGAACTACGGGTAATTTTCTTTCCAGATATTTCAGGAAAACCAATTTGCTTATGATTTACGATTCATTTTTGATGCAAATCTAAGAAAATAAAACCCCTAACAGATGTTGAACAATGATTATCAGGTTCTGGATATGGAGCAAGCGGATGGTATCACGAGCATACCAACCGGAGTATTTCAAAAATTGAATAAACTAGAAAAACTGCTGTTACCAGGATGCAGCCTTACAGTGATCCACAACGATACATTCCAAGGTCTCACCAGTCTTAAAGAGGTACTACTAATTTAATTCGAATACCTCTTGTCAGCCCAAAAAAAATCTATTTTTTACAAAATCTATTAAATCTGTTTTTTAGAGATATTAATAACCCAAAATCTATTTTTACCCAAAACCCAAATTTCTTTCTAAAGAACTATCTTTTGCATTCTTGAAAACATTTCACTAAATTTTGGAGAGAAAGAGAAGCATACCATCGATAACAAGAAATCCTCCAGGATATTAACTCTGGGAGGGATGTAGCCGATCAGCCAAACCCAAAAATATTTCAGAATCGACGGATTAATTTTGGTAAGCTGCACCGTTATTTTCACCAACAATTCAATTTTTTTCTCAATCCCCCCCATGAAGATTTAGTGCTCAAAAAATGCCATTTTTCTAAATAAATCTTGGACAAAAAGAATCCTGGGGCAGTGGTGAAAATAACGGTACATTTGGGACAGTGGTAACAATATAAGGATAAAAGCAATCGGGCGCTTTAGTTATTTCTAATTCTAACTTTTTATTTTCGCCTTACTCCTTCCTCTGTACGTAGTTATAATATTTTTCATGTTTTTTATTACCACTTATTATAACTTTATTTTTGTTTACGCATTATCACAAATTATCCTAATAATACAAGTAAAATAAATGGTACTTGGAAGAGAGAGAGATATCGTTGCTTTCATGCATTTCTTACCATTATAATAATTTTATTAAGATATTTCATAACTTCTACTAATTTCTTAGTATTATTTGCTTTTGTCTTCTTCCAAATTTTAAAATTTTTTCCTATTTCATGCATTTGTGTGGTACTCGGAAGACTCTGCTTTTCTGAATAAACAATCAATGAAAAAATTCTTGAAGTAATGGTAGCAGATTCAGGATGAGATCAATTAGTCATTATCAAGCCGAATTGACCATCAACTTTACAGCTTGATTTACGAATCAACCTGATAAACGAAGTGGAATGTGGGAGCTTTGCGTCGACGCCAAATCTGCGACGTTTATCGCTGGCCGGGAATTTTTTGAATGAAAGCTTGTCTTGTTGGTGGGATGGGTTGGAACATCTGAAGGAGCTCGATCTTGGCTGGAATGAGCTTGTAACTCTTCCCAACGAAGTGTTCGCTGCGCTTGGCCCGACACTGGGGATCCTGGATCTCCGTCACAATACTCAATTGAGTGAGGTGCATTTCCGATTGGAAATTTAGTTTTGATAAAAGTACTTTTTTAAACACGAAAAATAATTCTTCTAAATTTCTAATTATCCCAGGCATAGCTGGTATGACTGAGTGATACTTGTCGAAGGTTATCTTCGAACTCAGCGTCTTTTGATACAATGCGCATGCATTTATAGCTTCTAATAAGTAAATAGAAACAGAAAGGAAAGAAAGGGCCATGGAAGACCAGCCAAAATTAGTCATTCCAAGCAGGAATGTCGGGGTTGTAGTGGATGTGCGGTGGTAATTTGCGACCGTAGGTAGGCCGAAGAATAACATATAAAGTAGAGGACTATATAAACCGAAGGAAGTTTACCTCAGCTGAAATCCATATTCTTTAAGGCTGGAAGAATAGAATTTGGTAGGTCAGGGGTTATCATCCCGACTCATGGAAGAAGAGCACTGTAAGCGGCAAGTCAGCGTACGAGGCCCAGGGAAGAAGAGATGAAGCGACAAGTCAGGAAAATCGACTGGAACAGCTAAATTTAAGCGCACCTCAGTAACACTGGTAATATTTTATACAGGTGATCCGAGCGACCTTATCGTTACTGGGACATTATTTACTTCGATAATGAGTGAAAAAAAGTAAAATTTAGAAAATTTCACTTTATTTTAAGCTTAATTTGCAGATTGAGGATGATGCTTTCAGCGGACTCAGTAATCTTCGCCGTCTGAATATGAGTGAAACAAGCATCACCGAACTGAACAATACACTCAGGCACCTTCCCTCCCTGCAGGTGAACAATTTTGTTCCATCCAAATTCTTAAGCAACTCTCGGAAAGAGGAATTAACATCTTTCACAAAGTATGGTTGTCGTTGGCACGTGCTTTCACATCCGAGTTCCTTCATTTTTCATAAGGAAAGAAAAACAGATGAGACTCAAACTTTAAAAACACTGTAGAAATCCCAAAATCTAATGAAAACACGCTTCAGGAGCTCGACTTGAGTAATGGAAAATTATCGCAAATTGAAGAAAATGATTTGCAAACGGAGAATTTGGAAAGTCTGATTTTACGTGGTAATCAGTTGAAAACAATACCACAAAATCTGGTGCAAGGGATGAAACGCTTGCAAAAGCTAGATCTATCCAGTAATCCATGGATTTGTGACGAAAACACTGAAAAAAGTTTGTTGTCACTACAATTTTCCCAATTCAGAATATATAATTTTTAACGCGTAACCTGCCTCGACCTTGAATTACAAATAAGTTTTAGGCCTCATTCGCAGGTCTAGTTGCAAAGACATCAAGGATTATTTGTATTTTATATGTGGCTGGAAATTACTTCTCAAAAATGTTGACTCCACCGCTCACACAGTTGATTTAAATTATGTGAGCAAATTAACTCTCTAAATTACTCTGTATTTACTCTAATTTCGTTTAAAACATATTTCAAATATGTTTCAAAAAAATGTTTTGAGACTACCAATCACTGTACTGACGAAATCCAGTTGTGGTACTCAACAAAAATCTATGCAATTTCAGGGACAGAAACATTCCTGTTTAGCTGAATAATTTTTGTTTAATTATACCTTTCGTACAAAAAAATACTTTATATAAGAAAACTTTATATGTTATTTCTATTTAACTTTAGACACATTATACTTTCAAAAACTTATTACTACTAGCAACAAACACACACACACACATATGCACTCATACATGCAAATTCATACACAGACATATACAAACAAAAATAAACATAAATAAACACACACACACACACGCATACACACGCACACACACACACGCACACACACAGGCACACACACAAACATACATACACGCACAAACACAAACGCACACACATACACACAAAATCACCCAAAGTTGCAGCCTCTCAATCCGGTTTATATCTAAAAGCAAAAAATGTAAGTCGTCTTGCAAAATATTTCAAAAATACCTTTTTCACGCCATGTAATCATAAAATTTTTCTCAATTTGCTTGCGAAATGCAAGTTTATAGTCTCAAAATTATACGATTCAAAAAATTTTGCAGTAGTGGAGGAGATCGAGTTGAAGTATCAAGAAGCAACCGTAACGGATGGATACAACTTCATGCTGTTGAATGCTAATGAAACGATATGTGATCAGCCTCGTCGCTTGCGTGGACAAATGATTACAAATATGATCACCGATTTGTTCACAAGCTACAACAATTCCACCGATGAAACCGAAATTCTGTTGTCTATGCTAACAACAACACCCGATAATGCTATCAGTTTTGAGGACATTAATGCTAGCGCCATCACTGAACTGCTGGCGGTAAGTTTTGGAAATTTTTGGACTTCGAATCCGCTTAGCAGTGGTCAGCTGTCCATTCACTGCCCCACAAGGCTCTCAATAATGTCCTTCCTCCCCCCTCTCCCCGCCCCGCCGGATTGTCGCCGTTTCGTACATCTGCCCCGATTGCCGCCGTTTCGTATACATGTCTCCGGAACCAGGCAAAGAAGATGGGAGGATCGATATTTGGCGCTTTCGCCCAAAAGATATAAAAACTGTGCCCTCACCCTCATTTCGCCTCGATGAAAATTTGGCTTCTATCAGTTTCTGCCCCCAAGATAATTTTTCATAGTCCGGTGCTGAATTCGATACTTCAATCATCAAAATTTAGAACAAATTTTTCCTACGAAAGAAAACTCCTTCCAAATTTTTATCAGAAACTGGCAATTCCGGTATTACTTGATAATGAACGGAAAAGTACTCTTTCTGATTAGTAATTTTTGATAATTTTAGAAGGGTGGCCTAATTGGTGATGAAAGTAAGAAGGATGAGCATAGTCAAGATCCAGTCACGCCTGCTCGTCCACTGTATGATGTAAATATGAAAACTGAATTAGTCAACGATACCGAGCACAGTAATCCTATCTCAACAATAGTGGCTATTGGGCTGCTTCTGCTTGTTTCCTTAGCTATTATGGCAGCTGTCATTTTACATATCAAAGTAGGTCTTTCTTTTTCCGTATATGATTCAAAAAAAGGCTAACTGAAAATTCGCTGACTTGAAAAGTTGCATATATAAGCTCAGTGATTTTAGAAACTCCTACGCAGCCAATTCATCATACAAAGTCCCTTTTATAAGGGAAGACTGTTATTTAGGAGCACAATCTCTTAATGAATCGTTCAATCGTTTTGATGGCAAATCTACACTAGTGCATGCCAAAAAGTCAAAATCGCTATCAACTTGCTTGTAAGCAAACCTCGAGTGAGGGAACCATCGGTGGCTTTGTTTGTGTTTGTCTGTTATTAGCACTTGCTACCCTCGGAATATTCTCTTGTTTCCTCTCACTTTCTTTGTTCCCCCCCCCCCTTCCTCCCCCGTTTTCTCTTTCTTTCGCATACCCGTCTTGCAAATTAGTCACATGACTATTCAGTACTTGGTGGGTAAAAGGCTGTACTGATGATTCCCACTCTTATCCGTATGCAGAGTTCGGCCTGTGCTTACAGCTAAGGGATGAAACACAAACAGACTGCATCGTAAAATGTCTTCTTATTCAAAACACTTAGTCCAATTCCTCTATTCTACTATTTCCATTTGTCTCCAGCTCTGAACGAGAGTTAATAAGAGCACTTGAATTTAATAAAGAAATTATTGAAGAGTGGGCTAAAAGGGTAAAAAAACAGCAGGAATGTGAAACATTTATCCTTCTTTGGAAGAATAAAGCAAGGAATTAGAGGAATTTTAGCCATGATTGTCAGTAAGCTAGTCAATAGCTGATGTCTACCGTGTCACGTTAACCAAGGAGAACTCAACAGCTGCAATAAAAGACTTCAGAACTTGAAATAATGCAAAATATTGGCAAATACAGGAACTAAAGTATTTATCTGTAAAAGTGATTGCCATGGAAGAATTCAACTTGTTACAGTTTGTTCAAAAATTAAAATAAAATTCCAAGTATTGTTTTGCAGAAACAAAGGGCGGAAATGAAAGCAGAAAAAGACAGCAATCTTCAGATGCGTGAAAGAAAGTAAGTAAAAAAGAATAAATTAAAAACTAAAATTCTATA